ATTATCATGTGGATATCTGCAGGCATAAATTGGACAGTATTGAATTTGAATAGCCGGAGCCCAGATGCTGTGATACCACGTGCTGTAATTCTCCAGGTACACGAGCACCAGAGGACTGCTTTATGGATGTTGCAGTCTTTTGGATGAGGAGTGAAATGAGGTCTTTAAAATCTCTCCAAAGTGGGACTGTCAGACTTGCTTTTTGACTCGTTATCAGCTCGTGACTTTTCCATTTTAATTTACTTAGAATAAATTTGTCATCACCATCATCCGTTTTCCTGAACATGAAGAAACACTTGAAGCTGGTTCAAGCAAGCATGATGATGAGTTCACACTGGGTATTATCAATTGAAGTGCTGACAGACTCTTCAGTGGTCAGTCATCACATTAGAAAATGTAAATTTTAGTAGATGTCAAAATATCATTACGCAGAGAGGCAGTCAGATTGCTGTTCTACACTCCTGGCCATTCAGAAACTCTCCTGGAACCTAATGGGATTATTTTGCCAATAAGTAAGCAGGGACACACAGCTCTGTCATTAAGCACAGCTTGTCAGTGACTGCTGGGTTGGCTGTGTGGCTCTTCATATGACTCCATAGTTAGGATCATCAAATGGCTTGGATCAGAGGGGACCTTAAAGATTATTTAATTCCAGCTCTTAAGCCCCCACTTGTATACTGGTGCTTCTGCTGTTGTCCTGTAATGGATGGCTTTCCATTCCCTACAGATTTCAAGACAAAACACTGAAAAAAACCATGCTGAAGAAATATTTTGACAGGCCTGTTGTATTGTAACAATATACTGTAGCAGGTCTGAGGAATGCTTTTTGTCAAGCGCCCTTTCTTTGCTACCATACAGTGCTTTGAATGTAGGCGAAGCTTTTGACTACTGATATTCTATAAGAGGCACGTGTATTGAATTTGTATTCTGCTCTTACTTGTGCAAATAACTTCAGCACTCTTCTCCTGTGCATTTTAAATTTGTCTTTTTCTGGTGAGTTCTCTTTTCCCCAGTGGAGTCTGGCCTGTGGGATGTGCCAGACAGTTCATGGGATTCATTTGCATCGTGTTGTCATCATTGCTAAAACACAAAGCTGGTGAAAGGAAAGAGAAGTTTTCTAGTGGCTCGGTGCTGCATTTGTCCCACCCTTTCCTGTGGGCTGGTTACTGCACCTAGGATGATTTCTGGTCCATTGTACAGCAACAGAAACCAACCTGCAGTCCCCAGCGTGTTAGCGTTGCTAGGCTGCTGTTTCAGTTTCTGAGTTATGTAGTTATTTGTTGATAGTTTGATTACGTGACTTCGCTGAGCTGAAAATACAAACGTTGTTACGGGTGAAAGCCAAATCAACATCCCCATTTGCACTTAAAAAACAATTTCTTCCATCATTTTGATTTTGGAGTTCAAAATGTTATTTAAATGTTAATCACTTGAAACTGTGCTTGGGCATATAATTCAATTATGGGACCATCTTAATTATGCAGATGGCGCTTACGAGCATCTGATCCAATTACCGTGCCAGTTCAGTACGCGTTCATTCAGAGGGCTTAGCTGAGACATGTTATTATTTCAGCGTGTGGACAAATTCCCTGTGTCAGGAAATGGGATCATAGAATTGTGATACTGCACTGCTCTGCTCACTGCCTTCAATGGTGCGTAACCACAATGGCTTTCACCTTCCTCCTCTATTCTGTGGTGGTCCTGGACTTGCAAGAGAGTTTCTTTGTACTTCTTAAATATCCAGAGGGACAAAAATTGAGAGTTAATGATCTCTCATTCCTCTAGGTAGCATGTAGTTTTATTGCTACTTGCCTTTGTAACTCTTTTTTTTTTTTTTTAATGGTGCACCACATCTGGAAGCTGTCTGTAAGCCTCATCTGATCAAGTTGATAAAAAATAAAAAATAAAACCAAACAGGAAAATTAGTAAAATTTACCTTCACAGTAAATTGGTGCAACACAAATACCATGCAATTATTGCAAAAATAAGACTCAACATTTAATTTTTCCTCTTATTTTGGTGCAAGCCCAAGGAAAACTAACGCATCGTCTGTTTTACAACATAGTTCAGTGTTTAGGCAGGTCAGCATTCCTGCTTGCTACAATATATGTTTTTCTCATTCACCTTTGTGGTTGTTGTTTTTTTCTTTAATCTTATCATTTTAACTGTGGGATCAGCCTCGTATATCTAATTAATAATTAGAGGCCTCTGAGGGCTGTGACATTTAAGAAGGAATCAATAAAAAGTTAGAATAATACCCATTGAGTTATTTTAAAATAATTGAGTGTTTCGAAGGAAGATATAAACCTGAATGCTTATGGCCAAAAGTCATCCTCTAACTCACAGTAAGGCGGAGGAAAAAAAAAAAAAAGGAGTGATTTATTCTGCTTTCTCATAGTTTTTCACTTTTGTTTCCCTTTCTTGCTGATTCTGGTCAGAAATTGGACATTAATCCATGTTATGATCCACTCAGTGTGGCCACATCTGGATTACCATTAAGTACACCATCTGCCTCTTTAGACTTAGGTACTGCACATATGTTGTGTAGTTGAGAGATGGAATAGGTGTTGTCACCTTGGAAAAGCTTTGTAGTACCTGAATTCCCACTTCTAAACAGTCTGCAGAAGCACTTTCCTGTTACAAATTACTTTCTCTGATGCTTAAAGCAGAGTGTGTGCCTCTGTGTGTGTGACTGTGCACAGGATCAGTTTCGCTCATTTTGGTATTTGGCTTATACAGGAATGTCACTGATTATATCGCCATGAATCTAGTCACTGACAATTTATGCTAGGAAAACTTGTCACACTGTAAATTCTAATTCCCAGTGTTGGGTTTATTCATGTTTTGTTGAAAGACAGAATGAACTTGAATCCTGGGTTGGACTGCAGTTGCAGTTCAGCTTTGCTCTGAGGCGTTGGTAAGTGAGATCAGTGATGACCAGGCTTGCTCTGCACAAGGGTGAACAGCACCAACACAGCATAATGCTGCTATGTGTGCACTTCTTAAGCATCACAGACATCCATGTTGGTTGTCCGCATATAGAAATACAACAGTAGCTCAGTTTTAAATTCTCTTATTACTGAGATTATTGTTATTGTTGCTTTATGCTTTGTTAAAAGTACTGCTTGCAATGTAAGCTATTACTATAATAATAGAAGAAGATAGCATAAAATAAAATAAAGTACATCGTAGGTTCCAGTTTTCTTCTTGTACAACTAAATACCATGCCTGCTGTGGAGCAACCAGTCTAAGTTAATGTGCCTTACCTAAAAACAATGTGGGACCAGTACCTGAAGACAGGGAGTAGATAGTGGAGGATTTGTAGCATTAAATTTATGTCTGGGGCTGTTGTTCAAAGCTCAGTAGCTGGTTCTGCCTTGCAATGACTCATTAACATGTTCTTTATATAAAAGATAATGTTCAGGCATAAAAGGGAAATGCATAATGCATGAGAACTGAGATGGAATGAAGATTGCTTTGGTTCAGACATATGAATGGCTGTAAGAATCAAGTTGTAAGGGATGACGTTGATGTTTACTGTTGGAGCAACACCTCAGAAGTCTAACACATTGCTGGAGCTGTATCTTGAGTCCTAGTGTGGAAATTACACTGTTATTTCTGATGGAGTCAATGGAAGTTTGGATGAGGTGTCACATAATTAACAGTCACAGAAATACAGGCAGTAGATATCAATGCTGGTTATAAAGACTTAAAATGATTTGAGCTATTAGTTCATACAAAATACAGCAGTTTCTTGAGAACTGAAGCTCCTCGTGCTTAGAGGTGTGTTTAAGACTACAAATTTGCTTGGAAAACATATTTTCCTTTCTACCTATAAATACACTTGTCTTCTGATTTGGTATTGTGGTCACAATATTAAGCCCTTCAGACTCATCTACAAATTAGCAAGAACTCTGTGATGAAGACAGCTGCGTTTATGCTATCCACTGTTTGCAGTGCACTGTTTTTCTCAGACAGTGGTTGAAATGTGTGGATTTGGGCTTCTGTAAGAACAGGTTCTTTCATGTCTATTTTCCATTTAAGTGTGAAATATCACATACATAGATACATACAGTGGTGATTGTTTGTCTCAGAAGGAGATCTAGCTTGTTGCTGGGGTTGTACATACTGTATGGCTCCAAGACTCTGGCTGGATAACATAAGAGAACTTGTACAAGCACTGTCCAAGGTTTTCTGGCTGAACTGATTAATTCTACAAACAGGTTGCTGTGTAAATGTGCCATCTCGTAAATAAATAGAAGGATCTCAAAACATCTTTGTGCTGCTTTTCCAAAGCTGCACAAAAATCTGACATAAGTGGAATGCAGTGTTTTCAGAGAACTGTGGGACAGTGCAATTTGGAAGGAACCTCAGGCCAATCAAACTTAGAACGTTTCCTCTAAGCCGGGTCAGCTCACTAAGGCAGAGCAGGCTGCTCATATTGAAAACTTCCACTGATGGAGACTGCACTTCTCTGTTAATCTGTCCCACTTCTTGACTGTCCTTACGCATGAAATGAGTTGCATTTCTGTTAGCTTTAGTCCCGACCCTACCTTTCTCTCCTTTTGTCTCTGAGAAGAATCACATTTTCTGTTCTTCCATGATCAGATTAACCCTGCACTGCTTATCACAAGATGTCAATCTTCAGAAATTTCAGTTCGACTTAAGACAGCTGCTGGCTATAAGAAAATTGAAAAAAGGGTTCTTCTCAGCGAGGGCCTTGTGTCTGTGTGTGCATGGAGTAGCAAGGGGGAAGTGTTTGCCTTTTCTGCATATATTAAGCTGAAGGCTTCTTTAAATATTTGTTTGGAATTTTGAGTACTAATGTTGCCAGTGTTTTTTTTTTCCACCTTTGTAATGTAACAGGAAATGAAGATGTTTAAAGGCGCAGTGGTTTTGGTGACCGTGTTAATATTTTTTAGATTTAACCCCAAAGTTCAGTCTATCTTTATTTGATTATGCTAAGATTAGTGAATTATAAATCTTTCCTCTCTTTTCAGGCTTCTCAATGCCAATAAGATCAACTGCCTGAGGGTAAACACGTTCCAAGGTCTGCATAATCTCAAACTGCTATCTCTTTATGACAACAAATTGCAGACCATCAGCAAGGGGCTTTTTGCACCTCTCCGATCGATTCAAACTCTGTGAGTATGCAAGCATATTGGAAATGACAGCTTTCCCCTTTTCCCCAAAGATGTCACCTGTCTTTGCAAAGGCTCTGCATCTGACACTAAGATAATTTGGAAGAGACACCAAGGTAGTAGCCCCTCCTTTTCTGACAGAAGCAAAAGGAACAAGCAGAAGAGAGCTGTTGCATGAATTCAGCACAGATACCCATCAACACAGCCTGCCCTTAGTAATCTAAATGCCATAAGTGTGTAAAGATACTGAATTCATTCATTCATGCTGTTTGTTGGAAGGCAGTACACAAATTTGACTCTGACAGTATATGAACAGCAGATTCCATTAAGATCCTTGCCTATCAGTTTTTAGAGAGCTACTGAGTCAGTGTTTCTCTGCACTGGGACTGAGTTCTACTGTTCTACTCATGAATTCATATTTCAGATGACATCCCATTTCAAGGGAAATAATGATTGTATTATTTAGTACATTAAGAAAATCCCCTAAACATTATCTGAGACTCTTTGAATTGGAGTTATTAGAAGAGCATTTGGAAGCAAAATTGGAAGCAAATAAATAGAAATGACTGGATACTTTACAGAAGGTTTTATACTTCATCAGAACTGAATTGCCAGCCTGATGTAAATGGAAAACAAGAAACAACCCTTCACATACAGTATTGTGTATGGCTGTTCAGATATGTTAATTTCTGTATAGGTATAAATCTCATTATGTGTGTATATACACAGACAGAAAAGTAGAGGACTGTTCCGAAAGTAATGCCTCCTATTTTATTACCTTGGCCAGCAACATCAGAAGTGGATGTTGGCATCAGGTGGTGGTAGAGCTGAAACTTCCTGCCAATATTTCTTATGTTCTGTTGCCATGTGACAGAGGTCAGAGAAAATGGTGTCTGACGTGGAAGTGTGTCTAAAGCAAAGGTGTGGAATTGAATTTCTCCATCTGGAAAAAAAATGGCATTCACTTTTGTTCATTGATTCTTGCTGCATGTTTATGGAGACCTAACAGTGGATGTAGCACAGGGAGGGGCGAGTGATGCACTTCAGCAATGGCGACAGTAACAGTGAGTCACCTCCACTGATGCAGATTTTGACAAGTGCAGCATGCGTGCTCTTGTTCATCACTGGTCAAAATGCAGAGCTAATGGCAGTGACTCTGTTGAAAAATAGTGCTTTGTAGCTGAAAATTTGCTCTGTCAAATAGTGTTACTGTGCTCTTTATAGCTGTTGCTGTTTCCATGGAAATAAATGGGAGGCATTAATTTTGATGTGACCTACGTGTTTGTACAGGAGATAAAAATACATTAGCAACAACAGAGCAGAGTTCTTGTGAGGACATAACTTTATACCTCTGTCCAAACCCACTTTTAAACATTTCTCTTTTACAGTTTTTGCAGTTATCAGAGAGCCTTGTCCTGCTCCCCTGGAAATTAGAGGGATGGGTGCAGGTTCATTTAACTGACATCAGAATCAAGCTCTGAGTAAAACCTGACAGATTCCCAGTGTACTGTTCAACTTTGTTAAGCAAAAAGAAATAACAACAACAGACAAATGCTTTTTTCTCCAAGGAAATTCAGAGGACTTCTATTAACGAAGTATAACTGTCCAGTTAGAGTGTGATATACTGCGTGTTCCTGTGGGAAATGTGCAAATTTTGGTGAAGGACAGAGCCAAGTCTTACTTTTTATAAACAATCCATTCTCAAAACCAGGCAGAAATACATGTAAGGAGAATACTATTAGGCACAGTGATTATATGCAAGTATCAATTTCACTCTTGAGAAAAGCCCTCTGGATTACATCTGGCTCTGTCCACTGCTCCAGGGCACTTATTTACTCACCTTTTGATCCTTAGAAAACTGAGCTTGCCAATGAAATTTATTTTAAAGCAGAATACACACTGATCTCTCAGCTCAGGTGCACACAGATGGCTGCATTTCCCTCGCAGTTCATCACACCAGGCTTTCAGGTGAAAACACCGGACGTTGTACACAGTCGATCTGTGTCCTTTAAAGCAGACTTTACTGTATTAATTTTTGTTCCCTCCATGAACGAACTTACAAAGGCCTTAATAAGCTACAAAACGTGATAACTCGCAGTTCTCCCATTCATGTGAAGCTCTGTGGTTTCCTCCAGGCCCAGCTTTTTGGGAGCTTATTCAATTACTCTTCAGGTTTGCATTTGCGAAAAACAGTGATGGAGTACAGTGTCACAGGTCACTTCTGATTAAACATCCCATCCTTCTCTCAGACATTTAGCTCAGAATCCATTTGTGTGCGACTGCCATTTGAAGTGGCTGGCTGATTACCTGCAGGATAATCCGATAGAAACCAGCGGCGCTCGATGCAGCAATCCACGTCGCCTTGCCAACAAACGAATCAGCCAGATCAAGAGCAAGAAGTTCCGCTGCTCAGGTAATTCATTTATCCAGGCTGTACTGCACTTTCAATTCAGAAATAAGCAGGTCCAGAGAGCCCGCTAATCGAATCTGCAGGGCAGCATTTGCTATAATGGATATTATGGAGCATCTTTTAAAATTAAATTTGGAAAATTCAGTTAGTTCTTCAGAAAGCCAATTACCTTATGGATTTATAAGAGAAAAAGAAAAAAAGAAGAAAAAAAAAAAAGTCTATATAGTCTATAGCTGCCTTAAAACAAAAGAAAAAAAGAGAAAAGCTTGTGATATTTAATTTATTTAATTTTAGAAGAATTGCTAAGTTATAAAATGTCTGAGGAAAACAAAGTTTTATAGGAATGTCATATTTTAAAGGGGTAAAATTGTCAATTGACATATTTTAGAGGGGTAGAACCAGTGTAGAATTTCATTTTGTATTCAGGTAGAACTCTTAACGACCCTAATCACAGCTCAGCTTAGCTCTCTCTGAAAGGCTGAGAACAGCAGGGTGAGGTTTTTATCCAACTGGCAGTGGGCTCCTGTGGCCTGGGATGTGGGTGAGCAGGATTTAGGGGATGGTGTTGATTCGTAAACTGTCATAAATTTTTGATGTCCACAAGTATCCTTCATTAATTCACATAAAGCTCATCAAAGTTCGTAAGATTTCTGTCTCTATTAAGTTTTATATTGTGGCTTTTATCAGTTTGTGCAAAGATTTTTTTTTCTTGTGAGCCAGATGAAAAACTGTTTCCACTTGAAAATAACCTCCAAAGTAACATAAACACCTTTTACTCAACCCTGTCTGGTTTTTATTTATGGTCCAGCTATCAGTGAAAGGACATTTATTGCCTCATACAGCACAACTGAGCAGACTGCTTTTTCATGTATTTTTTTTTCTACTGGTTGGTTTATATATATATTATGTTATTGCATGTCTTGTATACTGTAAAGACAAGCAGGTTTCATTGAGGGAATCTATTAGTGTGTACTGAGAAGAAAAATGACTGTTATTGATGGAGTAACTTGCAGTGTTTTCTACAAAAATTACTGTGATTTTTGTCTTTTCCCTATGAAAACCAAACCAACAACCATGATTAATCGTGTTCCTGGTGCTAAAAGATTGATGACTCTAAATGGAGATGCAGCATGAAACCAAATGGCAGCAGCCCAAAACAAGCTATTGTGCTTTGGGTATCTCTGCAAGCAATATGCTGAGCTAAGCCTTCTTTTTATGGGGAAAATAAAATAAAGATAACTTCATCTGCAGTCAGATTGTCTTGGGCATGCTTGTTAAAATCTTCAATCATTTGTGACTCAAGCCACGAAATTTATAACTAGAATTGAAATTATGACATACTTTCATTGAGGTTTTTGGGTTGTGTCTGTCATAGTAACAAGTTAATTAGTCAGTAATATTTATCTTTAAACAAACTTGAAATAAAAATGCATAAATATAATTTTAAAAAGAAAGTAATCTGCAGAAACAGATCAGTATAAATCTGTATCCAATTTGCCATGGTTACCTTCTTCTGCTTTTATTAATAGGGAAATGTATGTTATGTATGTGCATGCATGCCTCTAACAATGGTGTAGTCTATTGGATAAGGCAAACACCATCTGATATCATTTATGAAAGGTCATAGCTGAGAAGAGCAACAATGCAGAACACTGTACCTGGTGATGTTGAGAATAATATTTTGTGAGAGTTCTTATCTTGGGAGTCCTTTCCTTAAGGCATTAGGCTGTTTTTTCCCTTGCTCTCCAGTTCTGTAAGTATATCAAAACCACATGGAAAAGGCATAAACTTGACTTATGAAGGAGGAGGGCAGGGACTGTACAGCTTCAGAACAAAGATTTCAACTGGATGAAAGCTAATTCTATTGAAAAGCTCAATAGAGGAGCTATCCTTGCCTGTAGAGTTTCCAGATGGCGTTGAGATACACTGAACCTGACTCACTGTCTGCTCACATGGGGTGGGGAAACATCTCATGGTTTAGAAGAATCTTAGTTTGTAAATCAATCCAGAGAACAGACATCCTTGGCACCTCTTCTGCTCATGTTGTCCCTTTGAATCACGGCTGTTTCAGATGTTGCATGCAGCAGGAATTTTCCATGTTTTCATTTTGAGGAATATGTTTGACCCAGGATTTAACACAGCACGTCTCTGTGCAGAAAAGTCCATGAGGTATGAATCTTCATCATTCAGACAGGCTGTTGAGCAGTGCTTTCTGTTACCCAGGAATCATCCCCCACAGTCCCACTGAGATGGCAATGCTTGGTAACTTGTCAGTGACCTCGATGGCTGTGGGATTCCCCATTGGTTTTACATCTTTTGCTCAGTGTTCAGGAAGAGAGTTTTTATTTTAATTTTTTTTTTTGTAAATGTTCATCTCTTTGCTTAGAGGTTTCTTGTTTCAGGGTCCAATATTTTCATGCAATTTAATATGATTAATTAATGTTAATAGCCAGAAGTTGGTCTTGTAGAGAGAAACCCAGTGAATATACAAGTTAGTTAAGGAAGCAGTGTGAGGGGTGTTAACCTGGACTAGTTTTTGGCCTAGAAGAGGTGATGAGGATGCACAGAAATTCTGTGAGAGTAGAGGTAGTCTGCCAGTGTGGCCATCATGCCCATGAGTTACATCAGTGTGAAAAGGTAAAGACACACCAAGAAAATAAGGTCAAGAGTATACATTCAGCAGTGTGGATGGGCTAAACAGAATGGTATTTAATTAATTACGTGTAATTGTGAGGACAAAACTATGCAGCACAACAGAAAAGAAAAATCTAGCAAAGTTAGTTCTGTATATTGTTTCTTTCATGTTTTATTACAACTTCCCACCATCCTTCAGATAGTCTTTAGCAAGAAGAACATGCTTTCTTCTTTAATTTATCATCAAGGCAGTACTCCCAGATGCTGTTTCCTTTCTGAACATGACTCATGCTTTAACTGATAATGATGAAGCAACATCTGCAAAGGTTATGAGTAGCCATAGGAAGCAGATTCTGCGCAACAGGTAGGTAATGTACATAATTCCTTTTAAAATGAGAATTGGAAGCATTATAGCATGAAATGAAGGAACAGCAGGAAAAGGGACATGTTTTTGCCCAGGGCTGTGAGACTGGCAAAGCTGTTGGATAAACTGTCTGAAATGTTTAAGCCTCAAATTGCAATAGATACTATTACTTGTGTTTTTCTGCCTTCAATTGAATGTGATGCACCAAAATAGTAATAAACCTCCCTCTTGTTTAAATGTCTCCCCACAGTTATAGTATTTGAGACTAAAAAAAGGTGTTTGTTTTTGTTTTGGGGTTGGTTTTTTGGTTTGTTTTTTTTTGTTTTGTTTTTTGTTTTGTTTTTTGTTTTTGTTTTTTTTTTGCAAGAGGAGCTGGAGAAATGAATGGTAATAAATTCTGTCTTCTGTTTTGAAGATGGAGATACTGTCATTTTTCAATGGCAGCAATGAAATTCTTACAATCACTTTTGTTTTGACTGTATCTGCCCACTGTCACTTAAAGTTCCAATGGGACTTTCTTGCCTTGGGTCACTGAAGGCTTCCATTTTTAGTAAGAACAGGAAAAAAGAACAACAACATCTTCTGACCAGTAGAATTGGGCTAAGTTTGCTGCACAGCAGTTTTGTTTCCTAAAGCAGCACTGAGCTTTAGGTAGAAGGGAAATGAATCTATGAGCAGATTGTGTTGTCTCTGTGGTAGCTGGCAGGATTCTTGATTGCTGTGTGACACTGTATGAAATAGATTTTGCAGAGGGCTAGTCAACTATTCAGCTGTGTATCTTTTGTTCCCTGCAACATATTTGTATTTTTCAATGTATTGTGTATTTAAAAAGTGATGAAAGTTCCACGTGCTGTACAAACATAGGCCATTTTTTATAAAAATCAAAGCATACACATGCCTGTGAGCATCACATCACCGAAATCTTTTATCTTCTAATTCTTAGCAGTCTCAGAAATCTTAGAAACAAGGTTCCTATTAGAAGTACTAAGAATTAAACTGTCTTCTTGCTCTCTCTTGCATTGAAGCTTAGCTCGTATTTATCTGACTTTAAATGCTTCAGTTCTAGGTAGTGCTGTACAAGTCAGAAGCACCTGGAGTAATAGGAGGAGGGCAACAAACCATCTGCCAGCACAGTTCTCTCCTTTTTGGATGCTGCCTCTTTTTAACCCAACCCCAGTCAAAGTCAGCCTCTGCTGTCCATATGAATCTAGCTTTCATGTTTAGGGCTGGTGTTGTATCTCTTGTGGGATTTGTTGTTACTGGATAGCAGTACAGCAGAGTATGTATTGCTGTTTGTTCACTCATAATTTTCAAAGGTATTTGGTAAACTCTCTTGCTAGGAATTGCAGCTTTCCCCCTGGTTCCTTATGTGTCTTTTCCAGTCTCTGTATTTATACATATTACCTCCTGGCTTACCTGTTTACACTGGAGCAGAATTCCTATACTTGCGATGACCTGAATGGTCATTCTTTTTTTTTCTGCATTGTTTCAGCCTTAGAAGTGTAGAACTGCAGTGGAACAGAGTTTTCCCAGCCAGGAGAAAACAGACTGCACATCAGGGCTTTCTGCCCAGGGTCATGTTTCCTGCCCCTTGTTCCCTCTAGGTTCTCCAATTCTCTGCTGTTATGATATGTCAATATTTAAGCTCTTGGAGCTCTCAAAACAAAATGGTGCAGTGTATTGTTGCTCCTTAACCAGTGTTAAGAAGTCAAGAAAGGCAAGTGAATTTCATCCAGCTCTTACATAAATAATTTATCTGATTGAAACACTCCATTGTTCCCATAATTTGCAAATCATTCTAATGACAGCTTTGCAAATTCCTTCCGTTTTTAGTAAGCAAATAGTCATTTACTGACTATGTAGGCGTATCGCTGTCCTTAGCATTTTCTGTTTGATGAAAAGCACTGATATGCACCTGCTCATCTGCTTTGCTGCAGTGCTGCAGTGACGCATGCTCAGGGAATCACAATTTGGCCTGTCCCCAGCGTTCTGCTCTCCAGCAGCT